GTTTGAGAGTAACAGCGTGAATGGTATGAGTGGGCGTGGCCGCAGGAGAGAAAGATCGAATCTCTATGAAATGCTGTACGAGGCGAGAGTTTAGCTATTTGGAGATGACAACTTTGAATTGAATCTCATACCTCTTTACGGTCTACAGGCCAAGGGACCTCGACGTCACTGGATCCAGCCACATCCGTAGAGAGGAGGAAACGAGATACCAGGTTGTAAGCCGCCACGGTCATGGCGGCTTCAACGTAGTAATCTTCGATCAGGCCTTCGATGTCCCCCTCGGGAGTTCCTTGGGCCACAACTACCTCTTTAAGTTCAGTCTTCACCGCTTCGATAACATCGAAGGGGACCCTAGGTCCTTTCGTACTGTGGTCTGTAAACTTCGTGACTGCTGTGAGAGCTGCTCCAAAAAGATTCGAAGCCGGTGCAAGGGGTGTCGAAGTATCGCGTAAGATGAATAATTGCCCAGTTGTGAGGCCTGCTTTCTTGCCAATTTCAACATGATGACTCCATTCGTAGGCCGCTTGATTAAGGGCGGCGATTCGAAGAATCTAGACGACACTTGAATCAGCAGGTCCAAAATAGCATACCAACTTCGATATTTAACGAACCATGGCTTCACGTAGAATGGCGGGTAGCCTTCCTTCTGTACGTACTGCTCCCAAAAGTGCATTATACCCCTTCGCAATGTGTGGAATGTGCAATAAATTGGCATCGAGAGGTGTGATACCTCTTTCGCCTCGGCGTTCACGAATTGTATCAGCGATTGGCGAAGTTCCTGGAGGTGGATATCTGCCAGAGACAACTCTCGATTTGGAGGACACCATCAAGTTGCGAATGCCTCTTTGCATACACTGCGATCAAGGAGAAGAGTGAGATCAAAACTTAGAAGATTGAGCAGGTGCTCCTCTGTCATACTGGAGGTTCTCGTCGAAGGAAGGAAAGCGGTCCGACCGGCTCCAATGGCGGGACTAAAACCTCGCAAATATTATGGCTCCTCTTGAACCAAATCGACTTCAGTCGTTATCGAAATTCTGTTTTCGAAAATAGACAGGCCAAGAGCGAGAAAAAACATTTGAAGCGGCTGAGATTGAAAACTACGGCAGTCAAATGAAGCAATGCGACGTTTCCTTGCTACCGCATTTCTCGAAATCCAATTAAACATCCTGCGCATCAAACTACAAAAGCACCTTGGAGCTACAGGCTGGTTCAAGATTCAATGAGTAGGGTCAATTGCTTTAAAATCTGAGCGCGTTCTGCGTTACCAGAGTTTGGTTGAACTGAAGCTGGTATCAGCGAGTGGCTCCAATAGTAACGGTACCTGTGTATCCTATGGTACATAGTTTATGTTCTCGTGAGTATTGTCTACCTCATACATATGTCAAAACTTAGCCGTCGCAAAGATGTGTTAGTATTGCATCTTCTTTTCTAGAGAACCACGCAGCTTCCGCAACAACTGGCCGTCTTTGATTCCTCCTGCCTGCGAGGTCCATTGGAAACTTCCAACGGGGTCAACCGATTCTCTCTCTGGCCCTAATGAATGGGGAAAATGCAGAAATGAGTAGTAATACTGCACAATATTACAAAGGATCATACCTTGTTATGCTGACGGATAGCCAACACAAGGTCAACGAAGATCTCGTCGACGTTGAGTCGGGATTTAGCTGACGCCTCCAAGAACTGGCAACCAAAGTGTTTCGCAAGATCACGGCCCTCTGTCAGATAGAAATTTATAAATTACTAGCTCAGTGAACGGGCTTCAAGACTGGTTTATTGAAACGTACCGCTGGATGCAACCTGGCGCTCAACCTCCAGGTCGCACTTGTTTCCGACTATAACGACAGGCATCGGACCAAAATTCTGGTCTTGCAGACGCAAGATTCTTTCATAGACGGGACTGATTTTGTTGAAGGAGTTTCGGTCTGCAATGGAGTATACGAGTAGAAAGCCGCACTGTTTGCTCATCGGCCTATTACACAGTTGTCAAGAAGATAAGCCTCTAGGAAGGCTGATTATGTTTGAGAAAGTGACACACCAGTATTCGTCTTGAATATCGGTATCTAGAACTTCCACAAAGCCTATTTCGTCCTTGATCAGGACCTGCTTCCGGTATGACTCTTGACAGATATTAGTGACAACTGATTATGACGTCTCGAAAGTGAAAAGTCAAATTTACTATGTATAGTTGGTTCATATCCGTCCAAGAAGCAATTTAGAACGAACTGTACTTTTAGTGCAGACTTTCCGACGCCTGAAAAGTGAGATCTGTTAAAAAAGGTGAAAATGCGTGGATTGTCACAAGGCGTACTTCCCCCTCCGAGAACAACGACTTCGTACTCTTGGTAGAACTGTGATTGTACCTTGAGTAGTTAAATTCTGACCGAGAGATGTAATGAATTTGAATGTACTCACTTTGGGAGGCATAGTAAAGGAAGCCAGATGATGATAATGAGAGCCTGAGAGCGAAAGCTGTGTTGAGTTTCTGTTGAAGAGTTGGCGGGCAGCGCCATTTTCCTCAATCGGCCATTTCCTAGTAATAGTACCAGCGCCTCGTCCCTACTGAGCTACTCACGAAGAATCAAAGCAAGGAGAAGATTGAAGAACGTCGTATTCGCCAAGTGCACGAGTACCGACGATGGATCCGTCAACAGATGTGTTAAGATCTGCAAAGCCAACCATCTGGTCCGAACTTTGCTGGCAGATTTGCTCAGAGGAGAACCTGTTGAAGACCTGGTCAAGAAAGTACGGGATGGTGTAATTTTACCTCTCGATAGAGGTAATGAGAGAAATAATTAACGCCAATTTGGACTGTCGTTGAGTTTGAGATCGAAGAGAAGGGTGAGATCAGAAATACTGAGCAAGTGCTCTTGTGTCCTGGTGTAGGTTCTCGTCGAAGGAGGGAAGGTGGTCCTGCTAGCCCAACTCAGTTGTATCACCATATGCGCAACACTCAACGTTTTGGCTTGTCTGGAATAAATGAAGTCGTGTTTGAGAAACGAAGATGACGAGTGAAGGACGTTATCGAAAGCTTGGAAACCAGATACCGTAATTCCAGGAGGTCCCTTTGCTTAGCTCCAAGTACAAGCTAACTGAGGTGATGCTAAAAGATAATATCCAGGCTTTGCGCATCACAGATCAAAAACAGATTTTGAGTCATATAAGGTATGATAAAAAGATAGGCTTACATCATGAACATGTTTCATGTATTTGAAAACAGCAAGCATCCCAGGAGTTTGTTGTACGTGTTTATCCTATGGTACACAGTTTATGTTCTCGTAAATAATGTCTATCTCGTACAAGAGTCATAATTCACCGTCGTAAAGTCGTAAATATATGTTGGTAGTTTGTCTAAAGAACCACGCAGCTGTTGCAACAGCCTGCCGTCTTTGAATCTTCTGGCCTACGAGGTCCGTTCGAGATTTCCATGTGGGTCAGACGGTTCGTCCTCTGGCCCTATAAGAAAAGGATGAGATCAATGGATACACTTCAAGATAGCCAAAAGAAGCATACCTTATTATGCCGACGGATAGTCAACACGAGGTTTATGAAGATCTCGTCGACGTTGAGCCGGAATTTAGCCGACGTCTCCATGAACTGGCAACTAAAGTGTTTCGCAAGATCGCGGCCCTCTGTCATCGGGAGATCACAACGTTTTAGTGAGTTAGCGGGCTTGAGGAGTGGGTCATTGAAACGTACCGCTGGTAGCAACCTGGCGCTCATACTCCAAATCACATTTGTTCCCAACTACAACGACGGGGACTGTGCCGAGGTCCTGATCTTTTACACGTAGAATTTGTTCGTAAACGGGACTGATTTCGTTGAAGGAGTTTCTCTCTGCGATAGAGTAAACGAGAAGAAAGCCTTCTCCTGACAACATGTACTGTTCGCGCATTGGCCTATCACCCAGTCCCGTCGAAAAGATAAGGCCCCAATGATACGAATTAAGTTTTGAAAAGGAGACGCACCAGTATTCTTCTTGACCAGCGGTATCCAGAACGTCCACAAGGACTACTTCGTCCTCGATCAAGACTTGCTTCCGGTATGAATCTTGATAGGTATTAGCGACAACTCAGCATGACGTCTCGAAGTTGGAAAGTCAATGTTACCTTCTAGAGTCGGGTCATACTCGTCCAAGAAGTGATTTTGAACAAACTGTACAGTCAACGCAGACTTTCCGACGCCTAAAAGTGGAGTCTGTGAACAAAATTCAAATGTACAAATTGCTCCAAGGCGTACTTCCTCCTCCGAGAACAACGACTTTGTATTCTCTATGAAATTGTGCTTGTACCTTGAATAGTTGAATTTCGAGCGAGACATGCAATGGTTTTCGGTGTACTCACTCTTGGAGTCATAGTAGGGGAAGCGAGAGGACGATGATGTGAGAAGCGAAAGCTGCGTTTTCATTGAGGCGTCGGCGGGGCAGTGCCACCTTCCTCAATTGGCGATATGCTAAAAATAGGGACTAGCGCCTTGCCTCAACTAGTACTGAGGCCCATCCTGTTCGTTCTACTCTTCGACCTCGGATCAGACAGTACTGTATTCAGTATCAAAATCAGAGCTTTGAGCTGTAAATCTTGATCTAAGCCCAGTCACTGTCCCCGGGAAGCCAGTTTTTCCGAGCTAACGTCCAAGTACGCCTTTATGTGCTATCAACCCACCGCATCCATACCGCTTGATGAAGAATTACTAGGATAAGAATAGACCCATCGCGCTCGAAATTTCGTTGGAAAGGCTGTTGGTGCCTTCGCTTGATAATGATATTGAATTAGGAATGTATATGCAACTCAAGTACATCATGCTTTCAATTCATGGTCTTATACTCTTTCGAGCGAAACGTCCACATTTATCAACTGGGAATAATTTATGATCTTGCTCTGAGCGCTACCGGTTAAAAGTCTGTCAAAAATGAGCCGAGCAGTCCTTTTGCCCGCTCCGTTGGTGGGTGGTAGTTAACCATTCCGCAATGGTCTAGAGTGCCTCTTTGCCGACGTCGTCCATGAGCATTAATGGGGTAGTGGTAACCTGGGTCGTTGCCATCTCGAGAATCGAGTAACTTGAATCTCGACCCGCCGGGGGTTCGATTCCCTCTTAATGCATGCTTTTTCATGGAGAAAGTGCCGCAAAAACGAAGTTATTTATTTATCTATTATTCGTTTGCTCCAGGAAGCAATGGCTTGATCTACGTTATATTTTAAGAATAAATCTCTGGGAGGATGTATATGAAAAATATTTTAACCGTCAATACGTTGATTGGATTTTGGACAACTTTAACCAAACTCGCAAGGAACGTATTCTTGGTGTATCTTTGAGATATATCTTCAGAAGTTTGACTGGTCCGAATTCTGGTAATCTTATTACCGTAGGGAAGTTATTTCATTCCAAAAAACATATTCCTCTTGTTCACGTCCGTATACTTGGTGTCACTCTAAAGCCTAAGAATACACCAGCCCTCTTTTGTACTCACACCGGGTCTGACAAATTTACACGGCCAACTCTAGCCGTTGGCGGACGCCAAGATTCATAGATGTTTTTGTTTTCCTAGATTCATCAACCGTATAGAAAGATATATTCGACTCTTCTCACTGAAGCACACACTGTCTCTTATGTCCGCAGCCCGTGGAACTTGTGGAGACAGACTCGTTCAAGGCACGGTCGATCAGTTCAACCCTGATTTAAACGTCCATCACCACCTGGCAGCCGAGGTATATATACGCCGGTCCACTATTTCGTTTCTTAGCTTTCTTTCTCCTCCGCTTCCCATCTTCTTCACTGCCAATCGACTTCGTGTCCGCCCGCTTAACTTTATTCCCTTACCACAGTCTTTCTTTTACACCAACAGTCTCTCCATCATGGTGGCTGCTCGCTCTTTCGGCCTTTTCCAACTTGCCGCTGTTTCGCTGGCGTTGTTGTCTCCCGCTTTTGCCGCCGCACCAGCCAACGCTACGCAAGGGAATAGCGACAATGCACAAGCCATCCATCCAGGTGCGAACGTGGATATGTGCTTGGACGTTCGCGACTATAAGCTCTTTGATGGTGCACCAGTCCAACTGTAAGTACTTCTTTGTTCTACTTCGGCTACTTCAGACTTCGACTGCATCGAACGTTTTACCCTTTTTAATTACGCCCAGATCATCCCTGTACTAACCACTCCGCTTTCAATAGCTATGACTGCAATGATACCCCGGCGCAGAAGTGGGTTTTCACGAAGGGTCAGACCCATATTCAATTGGCGGGCACAAAGTATTGCCTGGATGCTGGACAAGGTATCTCATTCACGTTACTCTATACATGCCAGCGGTCAGATACTTACCAATCCCGTTTTAGCACCAGCCAACGGTCAACAGATGAAAATCTGGACTTGCTTCGACGATCTCCGTGCTCAGAGCTTCTTCGTCACTGACGATGACAGGATCTCCCTGAAGGACCAAGGTTAGTCGTTGTCATGAACTGTCGCCTCCCTCTTTACTCAGGCTGCCTTCAGGTTTCTGCATGGACGTTACCAAGGGCCAATACTTCGACACCAACCCAGTCCAAATTTGGCAATGCACCGACAACAACTGGAATCAGGTCTGGTGGGACGATGAGGTCGCCGACGCCCTCCCTTACTGCCAGTAAATGGTTTATTGTAGACGTGGACAACTTTGGATGGATCGTTTAGATGATTTCAGCTTTTATACCCTATAGCATAGCATTTACTATTCGTGGTTTTGGTTCGGGAATATCGCACATCTGTTAGCTCGTTACGTCCCCTTGAAAACCGATTATTTCAATCAAGACTGGGCTTTGAACAATGTGATGGTATTGGTAAAGTCCTGGATGTGATAAATTTCAAGATAGCTTGATTGCGGTTACTCGGAATAAGCCGGAAGGGGTCGCTTCTCTTCGACGATCTCTTGCTCAATTCGCCCTTTCTCGAACAACAACGCCAAGGCTGCCGCCTTGGCTTTTCTCATCTGACCAAGAGGTTTACCGCGATATCTGACCTCGTTGATTGAAATGGGAAAGTCGTCGGGCTTCGAGCTAAAATACGGTTCGTCGTCCGACGTATCAACCAGCAGTGTTGCTAATAGCTCGTTTTCTGGATCTCCGATATGCCCAGACGCCTTCAATTCTTGAGCTCGTTCCACCCACCAGGCCTTCTGTTGAGGTAATATCGTGGAGGTGCTCACTCTTCTCTCGGCAGGATCGAGGAGATAAAGTGTCAATATCTTTACGTGGCCAAACCTTGAGCGATCTTTGATCGTGAAGTCTTGGAGCCGACTTTGGAGGGTGTTCGGGAAAGCGATGAGGCGTCCTTCAGTAGCTTCGACTTCTCCGACGACTTGAACGAACGGATTCAGATTGATGAGATCCTCATCTGTGGTCGTTGGTGTCAAACGTTGGCGGAACGCCAAGCGAGGTTCCGTGGCGTTCTCGCACGAGTAGAAATAATGAGCGATAGCGCAGACCCCATCAACCTAGAAAGCAATGAGATGCATAACACCCCCTCGAACAAAACTCGAACGCACCTCAGTTCCCGCGAGATGCCAATCCTCACTTGAGAAGTCGGGTTTGGCAGGAGTAAGCTCGATGTTCGTCATCTGGACGACCACTTGCAACCCAGCTGCCTCAAACCGACGTAGTAAGGTGAGGTCCAAGGCCTTCTCAGCCGGCGCATATATCTCTGCTTGCGCTTTCTTCCCTTGAGATACGCTAGATTCGTCATAGGCAGGACTATCGTCGTTCGTCCCAGAACCAGAACCTAGTCCAAGATTCCAGGCTAGTATGCCACAGTAAACGACCTCTTCGATCAAGTCATAGAGTCGACGGTGCTTATTCGGATGTAAGTTGTTGATGTAAGAAGTTATTCTTCCAGAAATAATGTCAGTTAATTTTTCAGTTTTGTCCGAGGTATGATACGCACTTGGCCTTGCTTTCGATGTGGGCAACCTCACAAGGTAACCAGGCCGTCATTAACAAATGCCCAGGAGAATACACCGGTTGCTTCTTGTTCAGTTGGGTAAAGCAACTATCCAAGTCAAGTGGTGGTTGGCCCTTAGCGATTTGACGACTCTTCCCCTTGATAGGTGTATAAAGAGATGGATTGACAAGGTCGACCACTCGTTCGCGAGAGTCTGGACGGTATTCTCGTTGGATGGCGGGTACAGTTTCGAGAGGTTGTACAAGTGTGTTCAGCTCTTTTCTAAGATCGTTGGAGAGTACACGGTCAGATTTGACGACCGAACCAGAGAATATGGCCACTGCTCCCTGAATAGATGGTTCATTGAACAGCTTTGCTTTGAGTTTTAATTGAGTAAATATGAGATCTGCGATGGCCTCTGAGATGTGGTCGGATTCAAGATCGATCATATCTTCTTTCCAGTTCGCTGTCGTCTGGTCGTTGAGTACCTAGCGCGTCAAGATTAGCCATTGATAGACCTGACCAGATTAAGAAAACGTACGTCGACTTCCCATCCTTCTTGATCTGTAATTTGGTTTATGATCTCGTACACCTTCAGTTCCTTCTGAGTTAATTCTGGTCGACTAAGTGATGCTCCAGGTCTCGGAGAAGAAAAACCAGTTGGCGGGTAAGTCACTCACTTTATAAGCCCATCTCGAACATCCGTCTGGAAAACAGCGCTTGGATATAATCGAGATATGCTTAGGGTTAGGGTTAGGGTTAGGGTTAGGGTTAGCCTTAGGGTTAGGGTTAGGGTTAGGGTTAGG